ATTAGATAGAAGAAGAGATTTATCAATGATGCATTTCTTCCTTTTTCATTGAATCCTATGATGAAAGAACTAGGGAAGAATGCACGGTCGTTTTCGTCGAAGGCCTGGTTTTATTTTAAAAGGTAATGAACAGTGATTATGAAAGCTAATAAGGAGTAGAGATCGCAATATTTGCTGATGTTCTCAACCAAATCATGTCAGATCAACCGCGACATGAATGAAGGATTGACTCGTAGGTTTTCCGGCTGCCAGAGTAGGACTCGTGGGTTTATTGGAGGTTTTTCAAATGGGCCACTACAAAGAACCTCGTTTCTCCAAATCCATGTATACGGCCCTGCTCTTTCTGTTGTAGATTGAGGCCAGCAAGCTAGCTAGCTGGTTAGATAATATCCGCACCCGTCGCCCGAATCTCTGCCTCTTCTTCCGTGGTGGCCGTGGTGGGATCTGTCCCTAGCGGATCATCTCCCTTGTCCTCTACTACGGCCAGTTCGTATCGGTGATTTCTTCTCGGTTGCATGGCCCCATCTTGATAGTTGAATACGTAGTCCTTATTGGGTTCTGCTCTAGCCTCGTCTTCTGCCGAGTAAATGCCCAAATTGATCAATACGATTCCGGTAACAATGCCTCCGCATGCGACTGCCACTGCAAAGTGCTCTTCTGTCGCCAAAAAGTAGATTGCTAGTGCCATCCATACTATGAAAAGACAACGTCCCGCACGAAAGAGATAGATGCCTTCGCACATGATACAACTCAGAATGGTCGTCACCAACCAAATGACAAAGGCAGTGTTGGCCACCACTTCGTCTTCATCGGCCTCGTTGGCATGAGCCTTCTTGACTAGACTAATTATACCAATCAGACCCAGGCTGAACACTAGCATGGCAGTGAGATCCAGCCGACCACTTGCACTCAAACTGAAGATTCCCATGGTGCTTCTAAACTGGAAGGAGCGAGCTGTTGCTACTATCTACCGGAGATATCCAACAAGACAATAAGATGAATGAGGAAGAGAACGCTTTGGTCGAAGTGGCTGGTCGCGGCTGTCTGCTTTTGCTCGGTTGTTGGAACACAATTTTATGTCTTTGGACTTAACATTTTCCATTGTTAAATCCAAATGATCGCGGAAACAACTTGATTTCAAGTTTTGAAAGGTCAGATGTGCATTTTGCTCCTGATGCTGCCGTAACACATACTGCTATTTTAGTACAGTTCCTCGGACGTAGACCACAGCTGAACCCTCTATTGATCAGAGCAATGTCCGGTCGCTTGATGGTGCCGCTGTGATGCTCACTGTCTCTTGGCGTGTTGGCGGTTCCTTCCCGTGATGTCATGACAAGCCCTTAGACCACAGCTGCACCCTGTTTTGAGCCGAGCATGCCCTTGCAAATGATGGTAACCCTGTGCAACTCAACACTTCTGTGATCCCAGTCTTTAGTAATAACCAATAGTAGCTCAGCGTCAACGGTGCGGTTGCCTTTTCAGGCAGTAGTAGTTGGTGGTCATCTTTGGCCGGCAACGGTTACCTTCTCCGATGTCTTCGATCCGTTTGTTCAGCCTTCCTTCCCTCAAGAAATGGCGGTGCTTCATTGTGGCAGCTTGCTTGTGCCTCTGCGCAGTCTGCGATCTCGAATCCCAACCCGGCCGTTGGTTAGCAATCTCAGTTTGGTCGTCGAACGACGATGCCCCGTTTCTTGCCATGTCCACATCCTTGACACTGTGAGGACCTACGTTCCATAATGCTGTACTGAGTACAGTGCCAGTTTTCTTGCGCAGCCAGCGTCTGACTCCCCACCAGGCCTTCCCGTTCCCGGTTGACTTCGTCTCTCCCAGTTGGATGTTTTGGTGACACTTGAGTATTACTTGCTTCCGTCCGCCAAGCCAAGATAGCTCAGTTGCTTCCATGATGTTTGATAGGAAACTCAAGATATTAGCTAGCTAGTAGTAGTTCGAAAGACTAGCTAGTGGTTCAGTATGAATGTCCTTCCTTTAGTTTAGTAATACAAGTATTCCCATGTGTATCTATCTGTATCTATCTGTGTGTACAGCAATTGCTGCTTGCTTATTCCGCTGGAAACCTTGCTGCAGCAGGCAACCGCAGTACTCCCCTATTGCAGTCCTTCGTGGTGCAGCTGTATTCCTTGTTGTTGTTGTCGAAGTTTTTTTTTTGGCTGATGGATCGGCTGTAGAGGCTCATGAGAGTTTGCTTTTGATCGTCACTGAGGTCCAATGTGGCCGAGTTTTCGGACTGTTTGCGCTCTGGTCGTTTGGGAGTGCATGCCGATGGAGAACCGGGAGGAGTTCTGGCGACAGGCTTGCACTGACCCGTCCATCTCCACGAAGACGAGATGAACTCTTGTTCTGCTTGTGACATACTGGTGCTATCATCCATGTCGAATTCCGTTTCTGAATCGCACGAGCTTTCACTGTAATCATCATCATCATCATCTTCTACTGTTAGGGAGTCCATGTAGCGTTGCAGCATGCGGGCTTCCTTTTCTCTACGGCGGTCTTCTTCCAGTTTGGCAGCCAAGCTGTGCCCAGCAGCATTGTCGACCACGATGGTCACGTTGGCAGGAAGGTTGAGCAAGAATTGGTTCATGTTCATCATAGTATTGTGTTTGTGATGTATGTGTTGGTGTTGTGTTTGTGAGGTGTTGGTGTTGGGTTCAAAGGTGAAGCTCCTTGAATTTGTGAGAGGTAGAGACCGTGGGAACCTGTTGGAGCTTAGATTCCCCGTGGTATTGCACCGAAGCGAGGACTGCTTTGAAATGCAGGTAGATGCGGTAAAACATTTGTTTAAATGTTTAGAAAGTAAATCCTATGTTTACCTCATCTACTTTCCAAAAGCTGTATTCCCGTTGAACTCGACAGCAACCATGAGTTGAGTTGCCTCTCTTGGCACTTGGGAGCTCTTGGCAATCATCTCAGCTCCTTTGCGTGGTGTGCAAGCAGCTTTTCGAGGAGCATCTCATTTTCTCTGCACAGAAACAATCAACGATCACCAACCAACAACAGCTCGAAGCTGGAAGCTCCAACAACTCATCACCGCAACTTCACCTTCACCACACTGCGCTTATTTGCCTTTGATGAACGATTCCTTGGAAGTGGGGGAACAAAGCGAATGCTCCACCGAGGTTCCACTTAAAAGTCTCCGTATCACTGAGTACACTTACTTAAAAGGGATGTTTCATTGTTAATCCACTTCTTGTAACACAAGATCATTTGATGACCAGTATGTTAATCCTTTTTTCGGAACACTAGGCCATTTCGTGGTCTTTTGGAAAGTGTGACAACGCTTGGGGAGAACCTTTGTTATGTACTTTTTGCTGGGATTTCTGTCGGTCAGTGTCCAGAGCCAAGAGGATCGTTCCTTTTGGGTCTTTGCAAATCAATCGTCTCAGCTCCAAGAATTTGGGCCTGCATGGACGGTGAAGTGAACCCCTTGCGTCTGTCCTCCCTCCTATTATGCTAACGCAGTCAAATGTGGCTCCAGTGGATTTGAAGTCCTTTTTCCAATACTGAGGTACAGGTAGGCATCCATGTAGAGTTAACTCATGTAGTTTCCTTGGAGGCAGCGTTTTCATGCAGTTTCAATTTGGACCTACCGTACAGTACAGCTTCAGCTACAGCTTCAGCTTCAGCTTCAGCTTCAGCTACAGCTTTCGCAGCTCAGAAACACACACTGTCTTCTATTAGATAGTTCTGGCTTTCCCACTTCCCACTGATAGCTTTCAGAGCAAGGGTTCTATCCTCGTACTGGTACGGTACCAGGTAGCGTAGGGCTGGCACAGTACATTCTCCCTTCTTCCTAGGAACGCAGAGGCAAAAGCAGAATGCTTGCTTCAGAACGAAAGTGCATATCCCGGTACAGTCAACGCTCGCTTATATTTATAATCTTGTATTTATTCGCTCTATAATATTTAAGAATACTCCAGTTCCCACATTTTTAACTCTAACCCTATTTTAGTACTAGAGCACGTACAATTCTACGGGAATAGTTAGGGTTAGGGATAAAATCAATATTTATTCTCTCTGTTATATTTACTGAATTCCTGAATCCCCCCCAGTATATATATCTGAATGTTGACTGTACCGCTACTGACAATTGTTGTTCCCTTTTAATAGCCAGCTAGTTAGCCTCTACAACTAGCTAGACTACGGTACGTACTCTAGCTAGTACATGTGTGAGTACTCCCAAGGAGGCCTGTTCATCGTTCTTTCGTAGCGACGGACAGACCTTCAACTTGGATGCTTTGTGTCTTCTTGAGGAACCAAGCACAACTCAGGATTGGACTGCGACTGAAAACAACAGCAACGACCAACGCAACGACAGACGACCCACACATCCAGCACAGAGCACAGGATTAGTGAGAACAGCACAAGTGGATAAGATCGTGCGAGATAATACCTTGCCGTACTCCTCTATCAGAGTCTGTTCTCGTACCGGTATGCTAGTACTGGTACATAGTCCCTCTAGCTAGTGCACAGTCAGTAATCTTTGCTAACCTCAATCGTCAAAAATCTTAGTTGTGGATCAAGGATCAAGCAACAAAGATCGTGCCAAGAAGGACAGTCTTTCAAAATTTATTTGACTCTTGATTGTTGGCTGATTGACGTGATGTATTGATACCATCCTTTATCCTTTGATCTTACCAGATCATACATACAGACAGATACATCAAGCATTGGTCATTGTGGAAGGCACCAACTAGTACTAGTAGTTACAGGTAGAAACTAGTACTTCAAGAACCCGAAGTGGCCTTGGATCCCTGGATGACTGTCAACTGTCAACTCTAGATAGATCTAACTCTGCTTGGCTGCCGAAACACTTTCATCAGAGACGTGCACTTGAGCCCTGCCCTGGTCGATGCATGGTCATACTGTATTAATACCATGCCAGTATTGCTAGCTAGTATGGAATCTTCCGAGGATTCTTTGGAGAATGAACAATCTCCAAGGAAAGGGAAACATGGAATCCCCATTCCCTCCTTCAGCATGACTACATGTACACAAGATGGTATCAGTACAGCAACAGCAGAGCCCAATAGTCTTTCAGCTGCATGGATTTGTGGTACATGCACCTTTCAACACTCTGGAACAGACAAACAGCACTATCTGGCCTGTGAAATGTGTGGGACACCCAGAGCGTCATCTCACATTGATGCTATGAATAGTAGTACCGGTAGTGGCAGGAAGACAACCACACAATCAACCTCATCTATCACAAGGAACGATCCACCACAACGAACACAACAAGCGACCAAGCGCCCCTCGTCATCCTGGGGAAGTCTTCAACCACCCACCCAACAAGATATACGAGGCAAGCGGAAACGACAAAAGGCCCTCGATGCTCCTCCACCGCTGCTAGACTATCTCGTCGTGTTGGACTTCGAATGGACTGCCGATGATCGGAAGAAAATGGAACCCATTCCCGAGATTACACAATTCCCTTCGGTGGTCATGAAGCTGGTAGAAAAGAAAAGGGGCCTTCCATTGGAATATCATCAACAACAGCCACAACAACACGACAGTCCAATTCCGTTGCCACTTGATTTGACCATGCCATGTGTGGAAGATCATCGTCGTCTCCGACAAGACGCCATTGCCATTTCGGCGTTTGATACGTTTGTACGACCGACATTGAACCCCATTCTTTCCGAGTTTGCCATGCAACTCACGGCCATTACCCAAGAGCAAGTCAGTACGGCTTCACCCATGGACGAGGCTCTGCAAAACTACATGAAATGGCTCCAATCCCTAAAGCTGGTCGACAAGGACGGCGCCAAAACAACCGGAACCACCTGGTGTTTTGCCACATGGGGCGATGGCGATATCATGAGTACGCTGCGACAGGAACTGCAGTACAAACAAATAAAGCTACCGGAATGCTTTGATCGATGGATCAATCTCAAATGCGATTCCATGTTTCCAAAACATTACGGACGAGAGCCTCGTGGAGGACTCAAAGCGTGTGTCGAATCGGTGGGGGCAACATGGGAAGGACGGGCTCACAATGGATTGGTGGATAGTCTCAATACGGCCAAAATTGTACGACACATGGTACAAACGGGATTTCGATTCACACGGGCCACACGGGGACTCGATAAAGATGGCATTCCCTTTGGGCAAAAACAGAAACAAGCCGCAACAAGGTCGTTTGCTAGAACTTCAAAGGCTACGAACAAGAAGTGACGACTTTCTACTATGCCGGTAGCGGACGGGCCCAATTTCGGCTTGGAACAATGTTTGAGTAGTTGATGGTTGATAAACGTACGTTCACTGTATTTGGCGCTGACAGACCAAAGCTGAAGCAGATCGCCGTCTTGAAGACGTCGACGAAGGTGGGGCCCGTTATCAAGCGACCTATTTGGGCCGCTACCAGGTACCATACCAACTCCTCGCCGATGATCTCTGTTCGGCACCCAATCCCACGATTGAGCTGTATTGCAATCGCACCCTCCTGAGCCCTATGTCGATCTCCGACGGGACTCACTGCCGACGGAGATTGGAACGGGATGCGGCGTACCAATGCCTGTGACGATGACGGTGTTATTGGGCATCGTGTGCCGTCACGCAATTGGTTGATTGTTCTAGCTTTCATAGCGACGTCCTCGTACTTACGGTAGAACGTTCGGTTCTTCTCAGGGTAGAGGCCGCTTTCAGTAGCAGCAAGCACGAAGGTTCCTTGGGTATCTTTTCCAAGCACATGTACTGATCAAATCTAACTTTTACGACTGTGTTAAAAAGCTCCAGCTGCTATTCGAAGAACTTCAGCCATTCCGGCCTCAACCTCGGCTACCTCCTGAACCGCCACCATTGCTGTTTCCTGTTGAACTGCCACCATTGCTGTTTGTTTGCGTACCTCCACCAGAACCGCCCGAAGAACCTCCACTATACCAGATGGTTTTTACTTCTTCTGCTCCACACTCACATACGCAATCAGTTGGGCACTCATCCATCGTGTCGCACGCAATTGTGAGACTGAGGGGCTTGGTCTTGCCACCACCATCCTCGCGAGGCAAGGTCAATTGACAGATACTATCAGGGATGCTGCCTGTCATGCCTCCACCCACAGTGAGCAATGTCAGCTTTGTCAGAAGTCCCAACTCGGACGGAATTGTGCCTTGCATATTCTGATTGCCTCCAAAGCTGAGGAATCGAAGGTTGCTGGCCATTGCCACTTCACTTGGTATAGATCCAGTCAGCTCCAAATTTGCAACCGACAAGTAGGTCAGTTTGGATAGCAGGCCAATTTCTGCGGATAGGCTGCCAGTCATGGGATTCGTATGAAGTCGAAGACGTTCCAATTTGGTCAAGAGAAAGAGTTCGGTTGGGATGGGACCCGTTATCTGGTTGGTGGACAACAGAAAGTTTTGGAGATTTTGGAGATACGATAGCTCCGTGGGTAGCGTTCCTGAGAAGGTGTTGAGGTGCAGCTCCAAGCTCTCCAGCGGAACATAGCTGTTGACATCATCATCGATGGATGATTCCAGCGAGGAATTTGTCATGTTGTCTCCTTGTGCCACTCTTGCCAATGAGGGCGTTGCAAATGCAGGTGGTGGCTTGGGAATAGTGCCACCAAGTACGTTGGTGCCAAGATGAAGATTGATCAAGTTGGGCATGTCATACATGAGCTGCCAAGGTACAGTTCCACCAATTGCGTTCTTGTAAAAGTCAATGACTTCCAGCTGCTTCATGTCACTCATATACTCTGGAATCGTTCCAGTGACCTGGTTTTCACTTAGATCCAGAATCCTGATGCTTGGCAGCAGCTCGAGCTGTGTGGGAACAATTGATGTCAAGTTCCCAATCAACTTGACTTTGGTAATGGCTAGCTCATCCAATTGATCCAGCAGGACCACTTCGGGTGGAATGACACCCACAATATCCACTGGACTGACCGTAATTTTGAAATGTTGTAACCGCCCCTCCTCTGTACAGCCGAATTTAGTATGTGTCCCATTCCAGTCCCCGCATTCGCGTAATGATGTATTGAAAAAAGCATTGTCACGAAGAAGTCCAGGCCGGGTAGATCCATCAAAGGCATAGTAGAAGCAGCCAATGGCAAAAATCTGTGCACGTCTCCAGTCCGGCATTTCACTGAGCCTTTCTTCCCCATATCCATCCACCATCCAATCATAGGCTTGAGCCTGGGATGAAACTGGATCTTGTAAGGCCTCGAGGGTGAAATCGGGAAAGTCTGAAACCCACGAAAACGTAGGTGCCAATGTGGACATTTCATCGTTCTCGTTGGACATTTCACCACCACCGCCACCACAGACATTGCTGGTTCCACACACTAAACCAGTAATGGCCAATCCCAGTGCAATGGCCACAATGAGTATACAAATGAGCTTGCCTTGAGTGGACGTGGATTCCATCCAATGCCCTACCATTGATTTGGGTTCCAAGATTTCGGCTTGAGGAAGGTCTCGTTCTTCATCGACCTGAAACGATCGCGAGCCCACCAGAGTTGCCTCTAGCAACGGTGCGGAATTGTCAAGGGTATTGTTGCCCCCGTTATTATTGGCTCCTCCTGTCGAATTGTTTTCCTGGAACGTAGTTGTGGAACCGATGGAAATGGTGCCACCTCCCGCCGATTCTCGTCCATCACCTTCACTATAGGCACCCGGGGGCATTTGAGCGCGTGAACGTGGTCCTTGGCGAGCCAATTCGGGTGGTGGTGGCAATGAATTCTGCCCGAGAGCCAACGGTTGCTGGGCGACGGCAGCAACGTGTGCCTCCTGTATGTTGACGGCTCCCGTAATGTCCCATGGGATATCTTGATTTTGTTCTGGTGGCTCGTCCTGATTAGCTTCTTCTGTAATTCCTGTGCGTCCACCTTCGACAGCAAAGGCACCTGGTTGCGCGGTAGGAGCAGAAGGAGTGGCAATTCCAGCACCAAAAGTTGCAGGCTGTTGGCCATTTGCTTGTTGTTCCTCGAACTTGCGTCTCGCCTGAGTAATTTCTGACTTGATGTGGTCATCCGGTAAAAAACTCAGAATATTGGCAGATTGATTTTCCTGGAACTTGAGTCTCTGTTGGGCAATGTCTTCTTTGATATGTTCATACATGGCCATGGGGTCATCATTATTACTCGAAGGATCTGTGGGCACGCTGGTGTTGGCCACGCCGTCTGTACTGTGCATTATTGTGTGATCTGTGACATTGGCGGTAGCGTTGGTATCAGAAATTTGTTGGCCATGGTTGGTTCCGGTATCTTGTTGGACTTCTGGCTCGTCAAGAGTCTCCGCTCGTTCTTCTACTTGCGTAGAACTCAGAACATTAGCAGCTTGTGTTTGCTCGAACTGGAGTCTCTGCCGGGCAATGTCTTCTTTGATGTGATCATCCGGTCCAGGAGCCATGACAATGGGGCCATCCCTATTATTAGAGGGCACGCTGGCGTGGGTCACACTGTCCGTACTGGGCCTTATTGCGCGATCTGTAGCATTGGTGGTACTGTTGGTATCAGAAATTTGTTGGCCAGGGCCCGTACCTGTATCTTGTTCCACAGCTGACGAGTCAGGAGTCTCCGCTCGTTCTTCTGTTTGTTTATCGTCAGGATCAGAGGCCTCAGCATTCATGGTTTCTTCAGATTCTGCTACAGCTAATAGAAGACAGGTTTGCAATTCAATTGCTTTCTTCATAGTGGACCAGGTTGCTACTACCGGTACCTAGCTTGGCCAATGTAATCTTACTCGAGCTTCCCAGCCGGTCAGCGCGAATGCAGGTGCGCTTTGCATTGAGACTAGCTAGAGCACCGGTACGACTGTACACGCACACAAGCTGCCACTCAGTTCAACTCGATCGTGCATGAAAATATTTGGTCCGTTGACTATAAGCCAGTAGACTGCGAATGGAATTGAATACATGAGACAGAAGCCTGAAAGACAGTTTTGAGACGGGGTACTAGCTAGGCAGTTGCGGAAAAAGACTAGTCTAGATAGCTAGCTAGACTAGCTACTAGCTAGCTCTAGTAGTAGGGAGAAAGATAATATTAGCAAGTTTTGCTGCATCTACCTGCTTCCCAAAGCTGCTAGAGTGCCATTCCTCTCTAGAGATTGAGGAAGTCGGCATTTTAAAACCTCATTATTTTTAATAAGACGGATAGAGGTCAGTGGCTGAAGAAGGAATCAAGAATAGTCTTTTGAAGATTGTGACAGGAGAGGGGACACGCAGACGAGTGATCTCTTGCTCTTTACCCATAATACTGGGGTCGTTCCCATTGAGAAGCTCCAGTTGCAGTGTTGACGTAAAAGTATCGTTGCTGAGCAGCATCAAAATGCTCGTCCCAACCCATTGGACCGTCTCCAAACTGCTGAGGTTGTTTCAAAACAGGTCGCTCCCATTGGGCGAGTCCTGTTGTAGTATCCACGTAAAAGTGAGTGTTGTGCGCAGGACTAAAGTACTCCTGCCAACCAGGTGGCAAACTCGTAGCTGATGCTGCCTCCAACGAATTGGTAGTCTGACTACTGTCACCTTGCGGTCGATCCCATTGTGTAGCTCCAGTCATCGTATCGAGATAGAAGTTTCGTTGCTGTCCTGGATCATAACGCTCTTCCCAACCAAATGGAAGACTGCTGCTGTCGGGTTGCAGCACTTGATTGTTGCGGCATCCGGGGGCTTCATCCCTCTGGACCTCATCATTACATGTAACCTGTGTGCGGAGGCCCTCACCGCTGTCAATCATCATGGGGGATTCCATTTTTGCTCGGAAGCTACTATTTTTTATATTAATACCTAAACGAAGGGACAGAAAAGCGATGCTTTGCTAAAACTATGGGCTTTCGCGGAGAGAAAACTCACTTTTGCTTCCGCACAGCAGAGCTTCTGTAGCACACCGCCTGACCTCGCTCCTCGCTGTCGTGTTCGAGGGAGTTGCTTCCGCGAAGTGACGAAAGAAGTAAGCTAATAAGCCAGCCAGCCAGCTAGCTAGCTAGGCAGGCCCACTGCTAGTGGCAACGCAATTGGAACCGGATAAACCCACTCTCAAACGCTGCATTAGGAAACAAGTATGACGAGGGCTACCAACTAATTATTAAAATGGAATGCATCGAGAGATTGATACAAGTCCAGTCCAGTCAGCTTGAAGCGTACTCTAGCTAGCTGGCCGCTATCGTTCACAACTAGTAAGTGTTCTCCTCCACATAATCAAGTACTGTAGTAGTAAGCTCAAGGAATATCACACACAATGCGATCGGGCACATAGACAATCATGCCATCCATTGCCTTGGTAACGGTGACCATGCATGCCAATCTGGATTCGTCAAAGACTTCGTCATCATCCCAGTACTCACTGAGGAGACTCATTTCTCGTTCCGTTCGATGATTGGCCGTTTCCGATCCCTTTCCGTGCAGAATGACATGATCGAATCCAGCAGCAGGTCCTTCTCCAAAGGTGGGTTCAATCCATCGCTCGCTGCGAGCAATTTCGCTGTCTCCAGCTCGAACGGCCGGTCCAATGTCAATGCCGTGCATGTCACAAGTTTCGTGCAAGGTTTTGCCTAATCATAATCATAATAATCCGAGCAATGCAAACGAACAAATTCGGGCCAACACAAAAGCGGTGAGACGCGAGAAGGGAATGGAGCATGTGTGCATCCAAGTTACAAGTTAAGCATGAGAGGACGATCGAGCTTGCTGTTGAACTCACCAACGTAGGCAGGTACTTGTCGTCTGGCTCCATTGGGATCGACAAATGTCAATTGTACAATGACATCAAAGGCAGAAGGAGCGGCTTCTGCGCTCAAGGCTCGAACGGCAAAGGTCGGAGCTTGGTGGCGGACGGCTGAGCGTGTGACAGTGCCAGTAACAGCACGAGACGCCACCACTCGTTGTGTTCGCTGCAGCAATCGAAGAGGAGCCAACATGTTGATGATGATGTTCTAGCTATTAGTAGTAACAAAGAGTGTAGTACCGATGGCAGTGATCCAACGATACCGGTATGACAAGCAACAGAGAGATGAGAGTGCCGATGCCTCTTGTATCTTCTCGATGGTGTATGTACGCGTGTGTTGTTGGATTACTCAAAACGGGGGCGATCCCATCCCCTTTTTACAACCCCTTTTCTATCCGACACGGATGAAAGATAATTGAGTTTGAAAGCCTTCTAAATCATTGAGTGGTGGTGACGAGTGGAAGAGAATTGGCAAATGTGATTGCTTCCAGTGCACTCTACCGGTACCGGTATGCATAGACGCCATAGGCAATCATGGTGCCATCTGCAGCATCCTATGGATGTTAGCTCATCATGAGTTCCTATCACCTTTTTGTGCCTGGTTGTTGAGTGTAAGATAGATAATGACGCCATGGAGAACTCAGAGGTTGACAGCTATCTAGATACTGTACCGCTAGCAGGTAGTCTACTTCTCGGCGCAGCTCTAGCTACCTGTAGGAGTTCGAAACGCACGTCTTGGTTGAATGGTCGTCTCTGTTATGGGTGCGTGGCATCGTTGTTGATTGGGGTCAAGTCTAGCTAGCTAGCTCTGGCAAAGAACATTCCGGTACAAGTAAGTTTCAGCTAGCTGCATGTAGCCACAGGCCACAGGAGCTCTGCCTTTGTGGGGAGATGATAAAGAGATTAAGCTGCCTTGAAACTGTTTCGTTGAGCAAGGCTTGCTGGTCGCTGTACCGAGCGATCTCCCCGCGTTACCGATACGGCCGCCTGGTGCCATCCAGCCCATGATATGGTTGCAGAATATCCTTGTTAGCTAGCTAACGGTATCTATGTACTCGGCTAAAGATATTGAAGATCCCTTGTAAAGTGTTGGATTAAACCTGCATCTTTTTATGAACTATCTGTGGTCAGTAGTTTGCAGGTTCCGTTCTTTTCGTTTCTAGTATACACGTTCGTTTTGGCAGTGGCCCCCCCATTCTTTAGTTATACAAACACGGCAACGACAGTGGCAGTCCGTTGCAGTGCCCGGAGGTGGCGTGCCCATTCTTGCGTAAGTACAGTTCCCTTTTGACAATCCATCTTGAAGCGTGTGGTCCATGCGAGTCCTTCTCGCAAAATCTGTTCTTCGGCAACAGGATCCAACGCCGACGGACGTCGTCGTTGTTTTTGTGCTTGTTGGAGTTGTTTTCGTTCTTTGGGTGTCCATTGTTGCGTAATGAGAAAATCTTCCATTTGTTTGTTTTGAAAGACGGTGTATTTGGTGCGTGCTTTCTTGTACAAGTCCATGGAATAGTCTTGCAAGGCGGTCCAGGCGGTGGTAAAGAGTGCCATAATCGTGGGGATATCGACACTGGCGCCATTCTCCTGACAGAGTTGTTCGACATGCGCTTCGGCTTGTTGCAGGAATTGCAAGTATTCCGCACGAGTTTCCAGTTCTTCCAGTTCTTCCACAGTATCGTGATGATCTTGCAGAAACGCGAGGATGGCGAGAAAGGAATCTTCCATGGTCATGACAAAATCACCCGAACTACGGTCGGACGAGTCCATGGAATCCTCTTCCGATGAACTCAGAGGAGCCGACTGAGGGACAAAGGGGGACTTGACCATGAACTCTTCCGAGGGTGCCGATAGCGATGTCTCGCTCGGAGGTTGCCAAAATCGAGCCAAGCTCTTCATGGGAGACTTGGACAAGACCATGGACGTTGATCGATCCGAAGATTCCACGCTGTCATTATCAGAAGTTTGCCAAAAGGAGAGTCTTGCAAAGGGAGCCATCTTGATATTGATGTGATTGTGTGTTGTGTTGTGTTGTGTTGTGTAGATGTAGTCGTTGCTTCACAAAAATAATGAGCCAAACATAACCCAACAGGCCTTCATAAGCGAACTGGAAGCAGGAAGGCGATGTTTCGGCGACCCGTGACAGGACCAACTGCAATGGTAACCAGGCAACTTTTCACAGCTACCCCTTCATTCATCACATCACACAAGAAGTCGAGTACCAGTAGCGCTTTCGCCCTTGCTGGCAACTGTGACTTGCAACTTGCAAACAGTACTACTAGTATAATAGCTAGCTAGCTAGCTATTAGTGTACTGTACATGCACTAGCTAGCTAGCTAGCTACTGTGCGGGACTTGTGCGGGTGCAAAAAGATTCCGGGTGGCAGTGTCCGAGCATCCTGAATTGATTTAGGCGCAATCAAGCTTTTCACTCCCTTTCGAAGCGCCATCCTAAAGCAAAAATGGATGGTCGATACCAGTACAACAAATCACTTAATACCCAAAAGCCCCATCATAACATTCTAGGGGAAGGAGAAGTACCTATTGTTCAATTAATTAAAGACTTTCTAATGTGCGGATTACCTTGCGGGAATTCATACTCGTCAACTACACTTCCCGGCAGACATGGGCGTCTCACACAAAACGGTGGGTTCCAACTTGCAACGTTACAACGTTTTACAACAAAGTTGTGGGTCGGTTGAGCCTGCCCTCATTCAACGTGAACTGCAATCTGCTCTGCCGTGCGGTACTAGTATGCAAGGGTCTCTGAATCAATCCTCTCTACTAATAATACTCGTACAACATGCACATGCAGCTACAAGAGTGCAGGCTCTAGCTACACTTCTTGTACATGTGTACGGTAGGCAACAGATGACTACAAGAGTAAAATTAAATCTTAAGTATGTAAAGGTGTTGGCCAGCAGCAATCAGAACGTAAGATGACCGCTTCCATGGTTTGGGGACCTCTGCCACAGTTAGTGGCGGTCTTGGGACTTGGGAGTCAACTGCATGGCTTCTGCCAGCTAGAACGCTAGAGAACTACTAGGTAGCCATGATGACTATAGCTACACGCCGTGTGATTGACAGCCGTAAGATGACCGGAGACACACTCAATCCCTTGGGATCTCTGCTGCTTCAGCTTAGAATTGGTCTTGGGACTCAACTCCATTATTTATTTATTTGCTTCGGGATGAAGAGGAGGATACGGCCATCGACATCTTGTTTCGTCCTCTTCAACAAAGTCAATTCGGATCCTTCGCCTTGGGATTCTACGAATAGCGCTGCTGCTCCGGTTCAAGCCAGCTAGTACTTTTTACATTCATGCATCGTAATCCCTTTCGAACCTTTGCTTTGGACCTGTTTTGGAAGATTGATTGCTTTGAACACTGTTGCCTTGGGATTGAATTCTACGAATAGCTAGCTAGCGCACGTGACGGTACTGCACACCAAAATTAATGATGCATTCTATCCAGCTTATTTATTTTTACATCCAACTACATGTTGTACCGACGCCCAAGCTTGTTGCCTTGGTCGACTCGACTTGACTCACCATTTCAGATTGCAGGGTAAAGATATATGGTCCATGCAGACATGCAGAGGGAACCATTCATTCGTACTAGCGGTACATGTGCATGTATGCTACTAGCATGACTTTACACTGTACTGTGGGACTGTGGGACTGTGGGACAGCGGAAGCAACAGGTCGTGAGGATCTCGAATGAGCTGGGTCCCAATGCCGCCATGCAACCTCTGGTGAAGGGATTCTTTCGGGTGGTAAACTGCGAACGGGACCGGCCATTTCTGAATAATCAACCTAGCTGGCTTAATATTTTTTGAGAAAGATATTTTGATGACCGCGCCACCTCCTCTACAATCCTCCAACGAAAACAAGTACTAGTACCACGGGGAAAATAAATACTAAATAGATACTCTATCGATAGAGGTCGCCTCTTGGAATCAGTACAATTGAATAGTTCAGTTAGACTAGTTAGAGAAAGACAATGAGCAACAGTAAGAGCGAGAGCTTTTTGTTTTTCGCTGCTGGTGTTTTGGTGACACTGGTAGCATCCAAGTTGGTGGAGAGGAAAAGGGAGGAGAAAAAGCATGGTAAGATACAGTATGAATACCGTTAGGAAACACTGAGTGCACACCCCAAACATCTCAACTAACTATTATCTATGTATGATATTATCTATGATATTATCTATGTATCTATATGTGTTTTAGCCGGCGCCAGTGTGGAAGGAGAAGACTTGTCTCTGTTTTATGGGGATATTCAAAAACTGACCAAGATTACCGACAGTCAACGATTTCTGCCGAGTGAATTTTACGGTACCATGGTGAGGACTTGCATTGTGGTCTGCTGCGATATCTGCTTGGTCCGACGCAACCGTACGACCAAGAAACGGGAATGTTTGCTGGTCAAACGATCGTCGGATCCAGCCAAGGGGTTGTGGTGGTGGCCCGGCGGCCGCGTGTTGAAGGGAGAAACCTTCTTTGCAGCTGCGCGACGCAAGGCGATTCAAGAAACCGGAATTGACGATGTCAAATGCATACAATGCCTGGGCGTTTGGAACACTGTCTTTCCCACGTCCAGTTGGGATACCGAAACCGAAAAAGGAACGCAAACTGTCAATTCCGTCGTTCTGGTCGAAATCACCACGGAATCGGGAGATGCACCCGTCAAACTCGATAATCAATCCGAACAATACAAGTGGATCTCGCTCGATCCCGATCAAGCCATTCAAAATGGAGAAGACAAGTATGTTTGGAAACCTCTCCAGAGGCTCAAGGCATCCAATCCAACCTACTATCATTCTTAGAATCGAATGATACCAAATAAATCCAATGCGACAATCCATGGCAAATTCCAAACCAGCAACAATCAATCAATCCATCATCGATTCACCCGTTTTGAACCTTCTTTTTTAGGAGGTGTTTTAGTAGATAAATTGTTTTCGTGCTTTCAAATTCTGGCATTGATTCCTCACGGTGTTCGTGGTATCTTCGTTGGAAGACATTCATTTTGCCCTAGTAGCCGGCAATCTATAGCCAGCACGAGGAAGCTGCTTTGACCGCCAATCCCTTCGGGATTGCCCTCGGTCGCCTTCTCCTTCTGCTGCTCATCATCCATGGTCAAGTGGTTGGTTGTTGGCTATCTCTCGCGATCCTCCTTCCCACTTTCCGTATCCGAAGCACAGCCATGTTGTACACTTCAACTCAATCTCTTGTCCACCTACATCACATTGGCAATCAATACACACAACAGTGAGAATCACACCAGTCCAACAACAAATTCGACTCTCTACTACTTACCTGGCATTCACCAAATTTATGGTATCTTCTCGAGTGCCTCCTTTCGATTCCACCACTCCACAATCGTGACAGACTCCACGGTTGACCCTCTCTTTGTCATTCACTCCGACAAAAAATTGATTCCCCACGATACGCCAATCACTCCCACGATTTCTTAAATCAGCGAGCCATCCCCGCATCATTCCGGCTCCACCACTACCGGCCCATCTCGACATTTCCTCCCCACTTTTCCTTCCTCTTCTTCTCCTATCTCTTCCGTCACCATCTCCTCTCCTCATGGCATCCTTCGCCTTCAGGGGTCGCTCCACTTGTGTGGTGCTTGGTGTGGTGGTCAGAAGAAGCTTTCAGTCCAGGTTCAGGTTTCAATCCTGACCTAGACTTCACATCTCCTCTGGGTCATGCTCAGCTCAAGCTTGTGAGGTCTCCCCCAGTCCATCCGGACTGAGAGATAGCCAACAACCAACCACTTGACCATGGATGATGAGCAGCAGAAGGAGAAGGGACCGAGGGCAATCCCGAAGGGATTGTCCGGCAGAGACTAACTCCAGTCATAGTGAAGCACCAGTAGCGGAGCAAATGAGGGTCCACAACCTTAAAGCCAGCATGACCGGCAGGTAACTGTAGTGTGGTGCCTGCTCACCCAGCATTGGCATTGGATGAGCTGGCACCAACAAGATAACAAGCACCAAGTGCTTATTCTCTTGTCTTTGATACACCAACAACAGTTGAGTACAAAGCTTTCGTTTTCCTGCATCCACAACACCCGCCCACCCGGTGGTCAGAAGAAGCTTTCAGTCCAGGTTCAGGTTTCAATCCTGACCTAGACTTCACATCTCCTTCTGGGTCTGCTCAGCTCAAGCGTTGTGAGGCTCTCCCCAGTCCATCCGGACT